CAGCTGACTAAATACGGCGCTCTGCAGACGGCTCTCGGAGCTCATTTTCGGGAATACTTATTCTGTGTTATTTACACTAAATTGTGGAAAATAAATCACCTCTGTTTTTCTGGCCAACATTTGGCTCGGTGCTGAGAGAATTATGGGATGAGCACGGGGGAGGGGAGTCATCTTGTCCCCATTGGACGCAGGGCGTCACAGCCAGGAAGGAGACGCCAGGCCACAGAGATGCCCTTGGCCCGTTGCCCACCCCAGGGCCCCGCACGGAGCTGGTGGGCGCTGTGCACGTCCAGGTTCATGGTAGTTTTTCACAAGCGTTTTCCCAGAGAGCAGCTGCCCCCTCGCCCCATGGCAGTGGGCTCTGTCCGCTTCTCTTGAGGGTGTCTTCAGACTGGCCCTGACAGGCGTCTGAAACGCAAGGGCCTGGGCTGCTTTAACAAGGTCACAAAAATGGGGGATGTGTTGTCTCTGCACGTGCTGAGTGACTTATGTTCCTAAAAGCTCCCATAGTGTGTGGCTTTCAGAACCGTCACTGCTGTGGGGACAAATGTTCTCCATCTGGGAAGTGGCCTGAATTCAGCGGTCAACCCAGGCCTACGTTCTCCTGCCTGCCCGTCTCAGGCCTGTTCCATCCCTACTAGCCTTGTGACCTGGGCACTTCACCTCCGTGCCTCAGTCTCCCCATTTGTAAATGGCTGTCTAACCCACCTCCTGGGCTGTTGGGAGGGTTTGCACTGGCTCTTGGGGAAAGACTTGTTTAAAAATTAGTCAGGGGGCTGGCCCAGTGGTGCAAGTGGTTAAGTGTGCGCGCTCCGCTGTGGTGGCCTGGGGTTTGACGGTTCAGATCCCGGGCGTGCACCGACGCACTGTTTGCCAAGCTATGCTGTGGCGGCGTCTCATATAAAGTAGAGGAAGATGGGCACGGATGTTAGCGCAGGGCCAGTCTTCCTCAGCAAAAAGAGGAGGATTGGCAGATGTTAGCTCAGGGCCGATCTTCCTCACAAAAAATAAAAAATAAATAAATATAAAAAAATAAAAATTAGTCAGAAGGTGGGGTCTGGGGATCTCTCTGCCTCTCCCTCCCTCCCTCTCTCCCTCTCCGCCCCCATAAATGGCCTTTGAGACTTTGATGAACTATTCGTCTTTCCCCAAAGTTTATTTAGAAGTGGACAAATGAGGAAAAGATTTCTTTTCTCTATTTGGATTAAAATTTCTGGTTTGTAGCCATTTTTTAATTGAACCAGTTAGGTCTCACTTTCTGTACACCCCTCACTACTGTCCTTGGCACGTGAGTACTTGTATCAACTACAGAATTTAAAACAAACAACCACTAGGGACACTGAATCTGAACGGTAGACTTTGCGTAACCTGGCCACACCACCAGCCGTGAACCAGCCAGTCCCATGGGTTTCTTCTGGATCACCCTCTGCCTCCCGTGCTCTGGTCACTCACTGCCCAGTGGTGTATCGGTTAGCTGTGCCACGTAGACAGCCCACCCCCATTTAGAACTGAACGCCTTCTCTGAGCTCACAAACCCGTGTTGGGCGGTGTGGGCCGGGCTCAGCTGGGCGGTTCTGCCTCTGTGGTCAGCGGAACAGCTCGTCTGCTGAGCGTGGGCTCTGTCCCCAGCCCACCAGCCCCGTGTGTCATGGCAGGGGCTCTCCAAGAGCCGTGAGGGGGTGCTGATGCATGAGCACCCTCCAGTCTGTGCCAGCACCAGGACGTGAGGCCGCCCGGTCAGCCAAGGCCAGTCACATGCCAAGCCCAGCTCTGAGTGGGGGACACACGCTCCGCCTCCTCGTGGGATCAGCTGCAACGTGACGTCGCAGGGCGTGGCGAGCTGGCAGGGGAGGACCTGGCCGTTTTTTCAAGCTACACGAATGGCCTCTCTTCTCAAGGGTTTGTAGGGAAGGAGGGAAGAAGAATACATGAGCAGGTGTGGCCTGTCATGGGCAGAAGCCCAGCGCCCAGCGACAGGACCGTGCCTGTCTGGGAAGTGTCCTGGGCCCCCGCTGCCCCAGGGCTGACCTGATGCGAGGCTCCTGTCCTGATAGCAGAGGTCTGCTCCTGAGTCTGGTCTGTCCCGGGAGCGTGGTGCTGCATGGCCGTCCTGCGTGTGGCCTCTGGGTCTCAAAGCACCCAGAACTCCTGCCCTGCAGCCTTGCACCCCTGTGGGTCACATGACACCTCGTTTTACTATCGCCTTGTGGTTTTATACATTGCTCTGTCTGTCTGCTTGGGGAACTGGGAGGGGGTCAGCGGCAGACTTCTGAGTCCTCGAGGACGTTGGACGAGTGGGGAAGAAGGATGGAACGGGGCGGAGAGATGGGAGACAGGCAAAGAGGAAGAAATGAGAGGGGCCGCTCCCTACAGGAGTTTGAGAGGAATGGGGGGTGCGGAAGAGGGGATGGGAAGGGAAAGGCTCTGTGCTGTGTGACCCCACAGATGACATGCTGGAGAGGAAGAGCTGGGGTACAGGGAGAGGACGAGCGTTGTGGGGCCGGGCGGGGGAAGGGTGGGGGAAGAGACGGAGCACAGGGGATTTTAGGGCAGTGGAAGGACTCTGTACGAGACCATGGTGGTGGATACACATCATTACGCACCTGTCCAAACCCACAGAGTGTGCAACACCAGGATGAGCCCTCGTGGAAACTGTGGGCCTCAGTGAGTAACAGTGTGTCCACGCTGGCTCATCAGTTGTTACAGATGAACCACACTGACGCAGGATGTTAATGCTGGGGGAACTGTGCGCAGGGGGTGGTTGAGATGGTACCCGGGAGCTGTGTACCTTCTGCTCCGTGTCTGTAAACCTAACACTGCTCAGGAAAAGATGATGTCTCTAGAGAGAAAGGGGGAGGGGACGTGGACTACGAAGCCTCTTCATCCTTGGAGGGGCCTCGCCACCACCAGGGTCATCTCCTGGACACCTTCGTCCCCTGGGGTGGGGAAAGACAGGCTGTGTCCACCTGGGGGGCCACCAGGAGAGCTGCGGGCCAGGAGGCGTCCCTGGGGCCCTGTGACGTCTGGGGGGACGCAGCTCCACCCGTCCTGCCGTGTGGGGCTGCTTCAGAAGGGGCCAGAGTCTGGAGCCTGCGGCCTCAGGCCAGTGGGGTCTGCGGGTGCTTGTTTTCAGGACTCCCGTGTTTCTGGGTTTGCTTTTCTACACAAGCACAAACTCCCTACTGTGTGTTGGGCTGAGCTCTCCATGAGCGCAGGGAGCTGGACTGTTTTCTCTGCGTGTGGCCGCTGTGCCTGGCTTGTAGTGGACGCTCCATCAACCTTGGTGGAAGGAAGGAGAGAGGGAGTGAGGGAGGGAAGGAGGGGGGACGAGGACAGGGAGAGGCAGAGACAAATGAAATCCCGCCCTCTTCCTCTTGGGGCGGGGGAAGAAAGTGGAGACAGAGTGGGGAGGGGAGCCAGCGCACTTGCTCGGTTCTGATCTGTAGGGAAGACCCTGCCTTGTGGGCCAGGACGCAGCCAGGCACCTGCCCAGGGGCTGGGGCCGAAGGGCAGCGGGGTGAGCAGGCCCCAGATGGGGTCTCGGGGCGCAGGCCGTCGGGGCCCCCAGTGAGGCACTGCCCCGGCCAGGCCGCGCTTCCTCACGGAAATCGGGCCATCCTGTGCTTGGGAGGTAGGAGGGCCTGCGAGAGATTTCTGTAGACGGCTGGTTGCCGGAACCTAGTCCTCACTTGAGACCCGGGTGTTTGTGTGCCGGCACACGGCAGTCCTGGTGTCCTGCCGTCCAGAGCAGAGCCATACGCACACAGTGCACGTCCCGTCTAAAGGGCTTCTTGGAGGGCAGGAGGGGGATCCCCTAAGTTCACTGTGTCCTCACCCGTTTCATATCCTCCAGCATTTTGGTTCTGTGTCAGTGGGTGTGGGCCGGGTCCTGAGGCTCTGCTTTGCTGCTGGTTAATGTCTGTGTTACTTCTGAGAGGTTCTTCCAGAACTGTCTCGGGTTCAGGAGGCGGGACCGCCCCCAGGCTTTGTGCTGGTAGCACCTGCCGTGGGCCTGGGAGTCAGCTTCCACAGCACCTCTTCCCTTGCTCGTGGGCGGAACGGGGCGCCCTGGGGTGTTAGTGCATCCGCATTCCAGGTTCTGCGTCCACCTGCTCCCTCTGCCCGGTTTACATTTACATCACCAGCCCTTACGTGACATTCCACATTGTTACCTTCTGTTGTGGTTACACTCTACACTGTCGTGACATGCTACATTATTGTTACATTCTACAGCGTGGTTACATTCTACACTGTCCTTACATTCTTTATTGCTGTTACATTCTGCATAATCTCGTAGAGGGGCATGAAAACTATAGAATCCTGAAGACACCTCCCATCTCGATTTTTGAAAAGAAAACTTTCAAGTGTCCTTTGCAGTATAAGTGTGTTTTCTGGACCCTTAAAGTACAGGGAGAGGGGGCGGTGCATGCAGACCCCCTGTGTTTTTGGCGTGTTTTGGGGGAGGGAACAGCTGCCTTGTCTGCATCTGGGGGTGTCAGCACGGAACTCGCACCGCCAGCGAGCTCTGTAACGGGTTCCGCTCTGTCTCGGGCAGGCTTTGCTTCTCCGGAGAGCGCCTCCTCCCTGCCTCCCGAGAACCAGGAGGCGGCATCCGCAGATCCTCTGTCCTTGCTGACCTGTTTATGTCCCTGTCCATCCGGGCTGAGCTGTGGACCGGGTCTCTGTGCAGAGAGCTGCCCCCCGCCCTGCCTCCCGCGCCCAGCAGCCACTCGGCAGGAACAGCTCCGGGAGCTGCGCGCCTGTCTGCTCCCTCCTGCACAGCCCGCCTGCCTGCCGGGAGGGGTGGCTCGAGGCCGCCTTCCCCCACCCTCCCGCCATGTGTCCTCCTCAGCCTGTGGAATGCGCGCGGCCCGGGGCCGGCCCCCAGAGCGCCTGGCCGGCGACGCATGGAGCGCGCTGAGCCCGGCCGCCCGGACCGTCCCGCCGGGCACAGCTGCCGTCCCGAGCCCCCCGGCCCCGGCCAGGCCCAGCCCCGAGAGCGCGGCGCCCCGCCCGGGCCGCGGTGGCCCGCGCGCGTGGACATGCGGGTCCGGGAGCTGTCGCTGCGCCAGGACCCCGACCTGAGGCAGGAGCTGGCTTCGCTGGCCCGTGGCTGCGACTTCGTGCTGCCCTCGCGGTTCAAGAAGAGGCTCAAGGCCTTCCAGCAGATCCAGGTCTGCCGTGCGCCTTGTCTCGGCCCCTTACCAGCCCCCCACCAGCCCCTCACTGGGCCCGCATGAGGTCGGGGCCGGGCGCTGCTTGTAGCGGCCGTGCCTGTTCCTCCCGGGACAGCCCGCATCGGTCCACGCAGAGAACCCGGTGTCCCCTGTGAGGTCTGCTGGGCAGAGCTCCTGAGAAAGACCACCAGCTCCTGTCCTGGAGTTCAGCAGCGCACACCCGCTGCGCAGTCAGGACGGTGGAGTGGTGTGGGCCGGGGCCGTGTGGACAGGTTTCAGCTGCGGGTAGTGGCTTCACCTGCTGGATGCCTGGTGAAGCCTTCCCCGTGGGTACTGGCGCGTCTGTGAGGGTGCGGCAGTGTTGGCACGCACGGCCCTCTTTGCTTTGCGTTTTCAGAGGGCTTCTAGAGACATTCCTGTACCACACCCGCTCCGGTGCGCAGTTCAGTGTTTTTAGTAACTAATGGGCTTTTCAACTTCCTCTCGCTGCTCATAACGTTCCGAGAGTAAAACCTGCCTTGATGTCTCTACCTTGGGGTTGTTTTATGAGTTAGCGTAAGGCGACCACGTAATTTAGAAGCGTGAGGCTTCCCGTGACCACCCGGAATCAGCTTGTAACGTGAAGTTTTCTCCGTGGCCGTATCTCGTCCTCGCCTCGCCCTCTGGTGCGGGGTGCTGGGGGACAGGACAGGGGTGCCGGGGGACAGGGGTGCCGGGGGACAGGACTGTGGGGCCTGAGGGCAGGGGTGTCGGGGGACAGGACCGCAGGGC